GAGAAACACAAAGAACAGCAGGTTTGAGCTCAAGTACTCTACTAATGTTGATACTTAAGGTAAATGTCTTTGATTATAACAACATACTTTTTCTGTGATCTTATTGAATGGAGGAGTTTTTTTTTTTTTTTTTTTTAATCGTACTTTAATCAAATTTCTCAAAACTTTATCCACAAGATATCAAAAGTGGCTTTCCAACCTCCTGACGACTTCGCTAGACGTCTGTAAGAACATACACAGGTGTTTACGTCTAGACAGCAGCGTTAAAAAAATCTAACGCTTCTGCCCATTCACTTTGAATGGGGTGACGTCACTTTGCCTCATTTATCGCCGAACTGCATTGTGGGAAGCAAAGCGGAGATTTCCAGGCATCTCAGGATTCAAAAGTTGAGCAATGTTCAACTTTTGAATCTTCTGAAGCTTTCGGTGGAAGCGTCAGCCAATCAAATCATATGCCAGTACAAGCTCTAGCCAATCAAACCGCTGCTTGTGTGTTAGGGGCGGGATATTCATGTGATTGGTTGTTGGTCGAGCTTCAGACACGCCCGCCGGCAAGCTTTTTCCAAAGCCGCTGTGAGGACGTACCGTTATTGAATATAGAGATTGATAATGGGATAACAACAGGCCTGGACACCAGAGTAAATCATGGTGGGACTCGTACCATCGTTGACCCGGTAGCACAGGTTGCACTTCCACCGGCGCTGATCCAGGAAAGTGACGAACGGGTTGATGTAGGTCCGACAGGAGCGGCAGCGCACGATGGTGTTGGACGTGATCACCGGTAACTGCTGCAGAGAGGAGAGGACAAGAGGAGGAACATACGTTAATACTGAGGGAAAGTGAGATTGTGTCTTAAAGATCTCCCATCATGCTATTTTCAGGCATCTATTATGGGTCTCAGATATATAAAAAACATTTCTATGATGTATACAAGGATCCTTTTTTTATTTCCTGCTTTTTTTCATATACTCTCTCCAGTACAGGTTAGCTCTACGTGTTAGTGATGCTAATGTAAACAAAGACCATATTACGTCCAAAACACGTCGCGAATTGTTTTCTGATAGCAGCTTTCTGATAGGGCCGTGGGTCCACATTTCAGATATTACGTCATATCGGACGCAAATCTGGATCAGCTCCGTTGTAGCCCCGTTTTTAGACATTTGGGTACGGAGGAAAAGAGAGAGGGAGAAATTCTTACCTATGCTGTTGTTCTGATCAAAAGTTGTGTTCAATGGCATTAAAACGCTGCTGAAGGTTAATCCATGGGTTAATCCAATGTGTCTGTCACTTTGAAATGATTGCTGATAATCCATCTTCTTATTTATGGCAAAAACTGAGTTTTCATATTAGCTGCTACGAGAGCTACGAGAGTGTAAGACAGCTTCAGGTTCCGGGGCATTCTGGCTACGCATCATTCATTCACCAATGGGTAATGTTTAGATGGATTTTAGGAACTTCCCCTCTATTCTATTGGCTCTAACGGTTAGAAAGAGATGTCAATCATCCAAATCGACCGAGGGGGGCCAGAGATATGGAAAATGCACCCAAATGACCCCAGAAGTGGGTTATTTTTTCTAAATCTCTCTAAAAAGGTGAAATATCACTTGTTTTGCATCAATCTTGATACAGGGTACTTATTATATGTTGTAGTTTGGATTCCTAAAGCTTTTAGTCTACCATCCCATCATCCAAGGGTGGTTTTCACTATAAGTAATGTTTTTTTATTTGGACGGACACTATCTTTTACATTTTTTTACTATGTTCAATCTGAATTTACTTTAAAATAAAAATGTCTATATTGATTCAGACTTTTCTACATCCAACTCACAGGTTTATCATTGCTTTGAGAAAAAAGATTATTAATGTACCCCTTTTACGAGTGAAGATATGGTCATTTGTTCTGGGAATGTCATTTCCGAGCCTGAGACCTGAAAAACAGGCTCAGAGCTAACGGTTGAGTTGAACACATTTTGCGCTTCTCATCGAGTGTCAATGTTGACCTTTTCTTCCACGGAGGAGAAGAGAGGCTCTGTTCCTGTTTCCTGAGGAATGTGTTGAACAGATCATTTGAACTGTTGTCTTGTTTCCGTCTCCTGATGTATTCATGACATTGTTCTCCACACTTCTGCTGCTCATGTAGCGGCGTCAGCGAAACATTTTCTACATTTTTCTTCCAGTCGAATACAGGCCGTTTATTCTCGAGTAAAGCTGAGCGCTACGATGTAACATGTACAGAAGAGCTTGAAGCTTCATTCATGTCATACATGTTAACGTACAAGTTCTCATATTTGAACGCCTTGTTATGACTTTTCATTGTGTTTAACTCCAGAATTTCTGCACAGTAGCAGATCAAGATTAGGCTACACTCAAAAGGTAAAACATGTATAATACTATTTTGTAGAATTCGTTTTTTCTGAATCCTGTAATCCAAACATTTACTCAATAACTCCAGAGTATTGTGATTGCCAAAAGCAAAAATATGTTGAAATAAAGATAGATGTTGGCATTGAGCTTTTTAAAACAACATTTTCACTGAGTAAAAAAAAGCAGGAGATATTTTACTTTCTTTTAATTATATCAAAATCAATTTATTAAAAAAAGACGATCTAACTAAATCGTAATAATCACTTTATTCACATTTTTTTTTTTGTAGGATTATGACGTCGGCTAACTTGATGACAGATATTTAAAGCTTCATTAAAAAATCAGAATGGGAGCATCAAATATAAAAAAACAAAACAAAGACATCTGGTGCAGCTTCAGCAAAGTCACACAAAAAAAACAATTTAATCCCAAAGGAAACATAATCTTAACACTGAGGTTGTCTTGCACAGATCATAAATGGGTAGTAAATAAAAAGCACATTTGTTTTGGATCTACCGCAAAGCATATTCATAGCTTATTTAGTTCTGATAAATTACCAGTGATGCCAGGATTCAGAGGTGAAAAGCTGAACTCAAGAGGAGAACAAAAATCAGTTTTATATTCTAAACACAAATGATATCGAGCCCAGAGAGAGTTGTGTAGTGTGAAATTGGTGTTGTGTGAAGTGAGCGTGAGGGGGGGGCGATTAATATTCGCCAGGGCTGTCGGATTTTCGAATTTGATCATGGTCAGTTTCTGGCATCCCTACCGCAGACGGACCACTTTTGGTGGTCTCCATTAAAAGGCAGCTCTTTCTGGAACAGCCTCCCAACTGAGATACGGGATTGTCCCACTCTCAATAGCTTCAAAGGTCAACTCAAAGAATGGTTGAGAAACAAACAGACGTGCAATCACCGCTAAATGTTAAGTGTTCATTACTGTGCATTGTCTCTGCCAAATAAACGATTAAATGAAATAAATGGATCGGTTTAACTTGGCGAGTATAAATCGAAGCTTCATCATATTTTATTCAGGGAGTGCCTTTTAAATGGAGGCAAGAATAAACTCTCATAAGTTGGACTGCTGCGGTGTTATTTTCTCACGGTGCATCCCTCTTCTCCGTCACTTCATATCTCCTTACACCACATCAGCCATCACCGCTATAAATACTCTCACCTATCTTCCTCTCCTCCTGCCTGACCCACTGTCCCCGCAGCTGCTAAAGAATACTACGTTTGACTTAATATATGGAATGTTTTCATCACCGAGTTTTCAGTTAGTGGAATACTGTAATCGACAAACTGAAGGGTTCCCTCATTTAGGGTAAACACAGTTAAAAATCACTTCAAAAGATAGAAACCTGTCTTTTACTAAAGTATGTTGGACCATAGTAATGACTGCTATACCCATTCCTTGCACAATGAATGTATAATAATATCCTGCTTTATATTATGTTACTGTACATTTCTATTTCCACATATATATTTTTTTAATGCTATTTAATTTCTATTTGAGATATTAACATTTTGGATTGTTTATTTCTAGTCTTTTAACTTCTCTTATGTACAACGCCCCCAAAATTGGGATCATTTAAGTGCTTCTTATCTTATCTATAACTTAAATTGTCCCGAAAAACAAGAAAAAACCTGGACACAAAAAGGTTGAAGGCACGGAGAGTGAGACAGGGAGGCAGAGGTGCTGCAGCATTAGACAGTATGATAGGTATAATGTGTTTTATGAACATTCATGTGTAAACAGCGTGTAGTAGACCCTTAGAAATCAAAATATGAACCTGAAAATTAGCTCACCTTTAGAGTAAAGTGAAAACCTAGCTCGGTTATCCATAACACTTTAGCTGAGTTAACTACACAGTGAAGGGCACATTTATTAGTACATGAGACTCCACAGTCACGTCCGATCTGCCAACACCCTCACGTCATTCTAAAAAGCCCTCAAAACTCACTTTGCTTTTGCCTACTCCACCAGGCTCAGCACTTTTTTTACTTTTGTTGTTAAGTTTCTTTATTTGCTTGTAAAACGCTTTGAGCACCAGGAAAAGCTCTATATAATGAACATGTATTATTAAAGAAGTGTCTAGATGTTCCAGTGTACATTTGGGAGTACATGAGACACAGAAGGTATGTGTAGATATTCCAGTGTACATCAAGTTTTTGGGAGTTGTATACATATGAGACATCAGATCTTACCTGCAGGTCTCTGAAGGGGTGCAGCAGGAGACCCAGAGGGAGGCGCGCCTTGTTGAGCAGAGCCTGAGTCTGAGGGATGCTGGACAGGGTGCTCCTGAACGTACTGGTGAACGACGAGAGAAAATGTTTTAGATTGCACGCACGCATGTATGCAAATGTATTTCTTACTTTATTGTTTCTTATAATTTTCTAATTTTGATTTGTTAACTTTTGAGGGTTAGGGTTAATTAATCCAAATTGTATAGAAATCACAATATGGACCAGCACAATATCCAAATTGCCTTCAGCGCAGTATTCTGGAGGCAAAATATGTGAAAATATCTGCATACAGTATTGTGGAGCTGCAGAAAAGTCTCGGCCTACAAATGGTATTCTACTGACTGAAAAAAAGAAATCCTTATTTACTACAGAACTCTAAAAAATAAATAAATATTTAGCAATTATAACTTTGGCCATATTGTGCTGCCCTAGTTATAGTTATCACTCACTTTTACATCTTTCTATATTTATTATAAGATCCCACTAGCTTCAAAGGTAGAATATGTGGAATCAAATGTTGTCTTTTCAACACAGTTAGTTAAACCTGCTTCACTGACACTTGCACTAATGTACATTCTCAAAGATATTGAAGTGACTTTTATTTAGGTCTTAATGTGTGCACAAGGAGGCGTGTGGTGCAGGGTTGTCACAGGTTCAAACCCCACTGCAGTCCGCATGTCGTTGTGTCCCTGAGACACTTCACCCCAAATTGCTCCTGGGGGGATTGCCCACAGTATTGAGTATGTAAGTTGCTTTGGATAAAAGCGTCTAACACAGGGGGGTCGAACTCAATTTCATTATGGCATCAGCATTATGGTTGCACTCAAAGGGCCGGTTTTAACTTTAAGACTATATCAAAATATATATATAAATATTTATAAAATAATGTATAACATTACATTATTGCCTCTGCATTGGATTATTATGGGATAGGGTAATAACTTCATCATTAACTACGTCTGAAAGCAGAAGTCTAGGGCAAATAATGAAAAGTCTCTTCAGTGAGAATGTCACAAAATGATTTAAAAAGAAAAGCCAAATAAAAAAAGGAATTAAAAAAAGTTACATTTTGAAAAAAAAGTCTGAGAAAAAAGTCAAATGAGAGATGCATTGTGGGACATGTAGTTTATGGGCAACGTGCTTCTGTAAATCGGCATGTAATCGTATAATAAACATATTATATTCTTTCAGAGCTCTTGCGGGGCCACAGAAAATAAAGTCGCGGGCCGGATTTGGCCCCCGGGCCTTGAGTTTGACACCCCTGGTCTAACAAGTAACACGCAATGTAATGCATATGTATAAATGTGTCTTTTGATTGTGTATATATAGGATTGGATATACATATTTTTATGTATATTTGTATTCGGGATTGTGGGAAACGGTATTTCGATCTCTCTGTCTGTACACACAAACTGAAAGATTGACAATAAAGTTGACTTGACTGTACTCACTGTGGGTTACAGTTGACCTTCTTGAGGTCGGCGCTGAGGTTGGGCTCGGGGGCCTCGAGGGGTCGGGGGGGCAGCAGGCTGGTCTCCTGCATCAGGTTCACAGGACTCAGGGCCTCCAGCTCCAGCTCTGGGACCCCGCTGAGCCCCCCCAGAGCCGCTGACAGCTGGGTCAGGTTAGGGAACGGCTGCAGTGGAAAGGGGGAGGGACAGAAATACAGTTTAACTTGAGACAAAGTTACTGTACAAACTTCATCAAATCAACTTGACAAAATGTCTGTGCTTTAATGCTGCAGCAGTTTTAATATATATGGGTTCTGATTTTACAATTGTAATTAAGTGTGTTTTATATTCTATACATGTTTCTATGCTCATCCAATGTCGTATTTTCGTTGATGTAACTATGTATATTTATAATAATATTACAGGACGTTGCAAAGGGGCTGCAACCAAGCTAAAGTTGTCAGCTACTGGCAGGTAACCAAAATGCTGATTTATGCTTTTAAGAGGTTACTTTGATTAAAATGATAAACTACATCTCTCGTTAACTTTTATGAATAACAACTATATATACATATCATATATCTAGCTGTTTTACACGTTTTAGTGGGAATAAGTCACATATTATACCTTTAAACAAAACTTAGGATGTGCTTGCAAATCAAAAATATAGCTTTTTTACTTTGATAATAGTAAATAATCTCATCAACAATAACACACACTCTCAGCACCTTCTTTATTAAGGCTGTGATCTCACCTGGGAGTACTGCTGGTATTCTGGCTGTTCCGTACTGGTCAAGAGAGGGGGCGGAGTCAGTGGCGGGGCTGGCACCTGCTGATAGGCCGGCTGCATGTTTGGGTAACCATAGTGATCGTAGGGCGCGACCTGATTGGTCATATCGTTGGAGGGCGGCATGGAATCTGAGCAGGAGAGAGTTCAGTCGTTAAAGACAAACTGATAAACCTGTTTAAACTGATTCAGACAGGGCATTCTGGAAATATAGTGTGTGTGTGTGTGTGTAGTGTGCTATGCATGTGTGTGTGTGCGTATGTGTATGTGTGTGTGTGTGTGTGTGTGTGTGTGTGTGTATGCATGTATATGCGTGCATGTATATGTGTGTGTGCGTATGTGTGTGTGTGTGGGTGTGGGTGTGGGTGTGGGTGTGTGTGTGTGTGTGTGTGTGACATTTGTATCGCAGGCTTTTACATAAATGGAGAAAAATCACATTTTCTTCTATAATTTATTGTATAATTGTTTATTTTCTACTTTTTTTTTTATTTCTAATTATGTGCAATACTTTATTGTACATGCTGCCGCAACAAAAACATTTCCCATTTTGGGATTAATTGGAAAATTAAAGTATATCTTATATTATTTATCTTATTTTTCAGTGCAGAATAAAATCCCCTCTCCTATCTCTTCTTGTTAAAGTTGCTCCAAAATAGTTTCATTATTAAGCTGAAAAATATGTGTTCATTTGGCAACAATACGTTTGTTTGGTGCACATTCTTTATTTTTTCAACACGTTCCCGCCCCGTTTCTGTCAACATATTAACTTCTACGTATTAACTTCTACACTTTTTCTCCAATAAAACTTGATTAAACCTGACGTCATGGCAGCGTTACCTACAGTTGGAGATCACTTACCCTCAAGAAGAACTTAAAGGGGCCCTATTATGCTTTTGGGGTTTCCCTTTCCCGTACTGCGTTGTAAAGGTTTTTGTGCATAACACTTTATATCATATTACAGTGAAATCACCTGGTAAGAAGTTTTGTAATGTGATAAATCAGTGAGTATGGCTTGTATTTAGATGAACAGTTTGTTTATGATCAATACAAACCTGGATAGCTGCCACCTTCCAGGGAATCATAGCTGTTGGGCACCGGAGAGGCACTGCCTGTACTGGAGGAGGAAGTGTCTCCACCTGAGAGAGGCAGACAGATAACACATTCAAATGAAACCACAAAGACTGGCCGAGAGGAGTGGAGGAGTAAATGATTACATTAATAAAGTTAAAGAAGGACCCATGGGGATTGCACAACAGAACAAAGTACAATGGAAGAAGAACAACACAAGAAGAGATGGAAGGGAACGTCTGTGAGAATAAAAAAGGACCACAACTATAAATAAAGTCCATTAACACATACACAAAGCGAGGGGCGAGACAAGAAATAATGAATGAGGAGGAGGGAAAGAACAAAAGAGGAATCATTAAAGGGAAAGAACTGGTTTCTTTCTGTTTGGCCATGAAGAGCTCTGTGTTTGGTCTCCCCTCAGGCCTCAGAGAAATACAGAAAGAAAAACAAAAAAGACACAAAGATGCACTTAAGTCACTTAAGACCAGCGAGCGCACAAGCTTCTGAGGATAGAAACATGGAGTGAGCAGAGGAGAAATTACAAAGATAATGTGAGGCTACAGAACGGCGTTACTGCCAACTCTCTGTGTGTCTCTACAACTCTTTCATTCTGCACTCTCTGATACAGTCCTTCACTCAGACCCCATTTACACGCAAACGAACCGAATACGATATCAAAAAAGTCTTCCGTTCACTCGAGACCGCTCGGGAGCGCTGGAGACGCTGTAGTACATATGCCGGGCCTGTAAGTGGCACTGTACTTCCGCACGAGACCGCTCGAAAGCGCTGGAGACGCTGTAGTACATATGCCGGGCCTGTAAGTGGCACTGTACTTCCGCACGAGACCGCTCGAAAGCGCTGGAGACGCTGTAGTAAATACACCAAAAGCAGCGAAGAAGACCCCCGAGCATGGTTGCCATGGTTGCCCTTCTGTTTATTCTCCGCGGTGGATTTAGCAACATGTAGTTCAACTGTTCATGTAATTCTCCATGTCCACTTGTTGCTGATGGTTGTGGTAGAGGAGCTGTAGATTTTGCACTAACATCTGTAGCATGGTCAGTAGCAGTAGCAGTAGCTACTGACAGTAGCTACTAACAGTAGCTACTGACCATGCTACAGCATTGAGCAGCAGAGGTGGGGCTATGGCCTCATCATTATCAGGAAATGATCGTATAGGCAGGGCGTACACACGGAGCCGTTTGACCCCCCAGAGCGTTGCGTCCGCA